GGGCGTGCTCCCGCACTCCCGAGCCACGGTGTACGAGGAGCCGGCGAGAGGTCGGGTCGGGCCGGCCCGGGCCGCCAGAGCACGCCAGTAGACCCTGTGCGGCTCCGAACAGAATTCCTGACGACAGTACAGACTGCCGGACCTCTCAGCTCTTCAGCCCTTTGAAGGCTTCATGCTTTACATTGTGTTCGTGCAATTTAGCAATAAATTACCCGATCGATGTCGTGCGGTGCGGTGACGTATAATGTGGGCGACAGATTCTGCGCGTAATGACACCTCGGGAGTCACTGGCGTAATTTTTTCCAGGAAAGTAACGATCGGTTTAAGCAATAAAACGCATTTGAAACTCCCCAGGCGAATTTCGACAGTCACTGATGGCGTGTTTTCAATCAGCTGTTAATGCGACTAACGTGGTTCAGTAGATAGCTACGCATGCACGCCTACTATGGGTGCTACTGCTCATCTGTGCTGTTCCTGCTGCACGCCTGTTATGTACATTGTGATCGATTTGAAAGCATAAAAATCATGGGTACACCCAAGCTGTGCAACGGTCTATTAAAAAGAGCATTTGTTTAACTTTTTGGCTGATGGTCCATACATATTTACATGCGTGTATAATTTGCGTCTAGTAAATGTGCTTAAGAAACTCTCGCTTACATAAAAGCTGCCACATGAGCCAAGTCAGAGGGACAAAGAAGGGCGAGTACGAGCATGACAAATGTGGAGGCCTGCACCACCGCATTTTTATAAACCGCATGGTCCCGCCCACCTTATGCTGACTGGCAGTACGATTAATTCTGTTGTTACCTTTTGGCATCATTCAAAGTTTATTCATCAAGAAAAATACGGATCCAGGCACGCGTTTCCGGCAGCCACAATCACAACATATAACTTCCGGATGTTCTTTCACTGCTAAAATGAAGTGTGCATAGCATAATTACTGTCATTTGTTCAAGCGTGGGCATCAGAGATGTACCCAGGGCATTACAATAAGGACCTGAGGAGTACTCAGAGTGTTAGAAGCAACTAATTTTGCCTTCACGCAAGGCAGTTAAGCTGTTTTACATCCATTCCTACCTCAACCAAGAACCGCACGACGGACAAAACTATCGCTTACGAATTCCACGTACCCCATACGCATACCTGACTTGCCTTCAAAAAGTGTGGGGGGGGGGGGAGTGGCAAATCTAAGGTCACCTAACCCATTCCTCATCTTAAATTCTTCTCTCGAATTTTGCCCACTTTTACGGCAGGATCTCTTGGATAAGAGCCTGATGAGTCTCCGGTCTTTCTAATCGGGCTTCCACTTTGACTGGCGGGCTCCTGTATTTTTGATGAGACCTCCTACGCATCTGGTGGACCTCCTCTGCGTCGTCTGGAGCCTTCTGCCGACCAACAGGGTCTGGTGTTGGCCATCTAGGACTCCCATGGTAAATCTCCTTCGTGCCTTTGGAGTATTCTCTTCGATTTTGTATCGAAAGTTTTGTCTCTGTAATCTGGAGTCTTCTGTCAGCATATTGGGCCTCCAGAAATTTCAAGGAGTAAAATCGATGTTAACTCCCATTGACGAACCGTACGGAGGAGAGGGGGGGGGGGGATCATTTGCCTCCTCCCTCCCTGCTGGCGCCACCCTTCATTCGGGACCAATGTATGCCTCTCACTTCCATTTGTTATGACTGAGCTCGCCTCCGGCACATTACCTGGTCAACGTGTCGAAATTTGCATAGAAAAAATTGCGTGCAAGTTTTAAGAACCTTGGTGTAGCCTTCATACGCCTGCATTTACTGTCACCATGTGTTCAGAGTTACTATCCTGATTCGTCGATCTTTAATAAACCAAACGGTACATGCTGAACGATGTTGGAGATCAACTATTTCTTATGTTGACATCGCTCGACAATTCAAGCTGTGCTTATCATCACGAATGAAAAAAGATCCGAGCAGCGTTAAGCTAGAAATGCGCTTGAATATCAAGACGCTTAAATCCAGAAAATGTTCCGAGCCTGTGCAAACACTGCCACTAAAATATGCCAAGGATAATAAACCACCGGAGTTCCAACGTCACAACACCCGTTACATGCTTCTACGATGAGGCGAGCACGAAACGCAGGCGTCTGCACCGGAAGTCGCGATTACCCATAACAAGTGTTGGGTAAGATAATGACTTACTGCAATCATCGGGCGCATGGCCATTGCACAAATATTACGAACACCTCGGGAATTCAGGTTCTCACGCCCTAACATCCAATACATGGTACTGCTACGGGCTACCCGAAACACAGAGGACGAAGTCGAAAGCTTTAATCTTGAACGATTATATCAGGATATAAAAAACGCATTCGAAGGCGGATATCGGTGTCTGTATTAAAGAACATAGAGCTATTTCTGAAAGTATATAACCTAAATAATGTTGATCAGGCCAACTCAGCATAAAATCTCTGACCTCGCAATGACGAAAAACCTAAGAGCTGAAGGCCTTTCTTGCCAACGTCAAGTGCATATACTACTGCCCTTCGCATCCTCTCGCATTGTTTGGAAACCCCGTTCCGGCTAACCTGGGATCGTTGCGGGCCGCCAGAATACGTCAGCTGACGCGCAGTGGCCCCGACCAAGGTTCACGGCGACGAATTTCAGCAGGGCTGTCGCTCGAAAACAAGTGCCGTCTTTCCGAAAGTTTGGCTCACGTAAAATGCATATTTAAGCGAAGTCGCAATTTCATGGATCTGTAGCAAATACATTGGAAATGGCGGCCAAAAGCATTCTAAGGACGGAGGAAAAATGCTCTCCTCTTCATGTTAATATCTTCTTCGACATATTTCTTCTTTACGTCTTCTGTGTGCAGTATTTTCTCGGACATATTCCACCACCACCAACAGCTCATATTGCAAAGTCAGTTGCTACCAAACCCTTAGCTAGCATTTCTTACCCAACCCTTCGTCAGGATTTTACGCTAAACGCTAAGCTCTAAGCGCTTAAGCCTCGTCGCCCGACCCTCGCCCCCTTCCCCCTGATCTGCGTTGTCAACGCAGATACAACCGCGTCAAGGCCAAGGTGCTCACACGAACTGAAGTGGGACACGAGGCAGCTCCACCGTGAGCCCTCACCAGCGCGGTGCCTGGCACTGCACCGGTGACAGTCGCTTGGCAGTGCATTATTCGGCTCGCAAAGCGACGACAAAGCAGAGCCCTGCCCAGAAATCCCCTAATTATTTGCCGAAATGTCCCGGGCGTCTAGAGCTTCGCGGAACAAAGCCGCTATTGATGCTGATACTTGGTAAGTCGACATCGTCGGTAATTTATCGACGAGGTGGTTGATGGCAGTCGGGCTCATTTGCACCGCATTGTCGCTGTGCTGAAAGGGGTACGGCTAAATGGTGGCGGCACGGGCTGCCTGTCCGACACGAGGCACGCGACCACGCGGCGGAAGGGGGGCCATTCATGAAGGAAGCCGGCTGTCCCGCCGGCTGGCCATTAACAGCAGGCTTGCATGCATCCTCAGGGCAAACGACGCACGGGCCGTATTCTGGCCGGAGCAGACTGCTTATATGCCTTCCATGCGCCACGTAAGTGCCGTCGGTTGAGGGCTCATTATGCGAGGCGAACACTGCGAAGCCTGGCCGCGCTGCAGCGGCGGACACGCGGGCGGGGTCGCGGCCTCGGCCGACAGAGGGAGTCTGTTACCGGGCGTTGGCCCGCCGTCACTCCCAGACTCCACAGCGCGGCACTCCGCTCTCAGCCGTCTGCGTCAGACAGCTCTCGCGATGCGCTCGTGCGAGCCGGGCCCGGCAATCAGGCTCACAATGCGCGCGGCGTCCGCAAGCGCAGCCAGAGCTAATTCGGGAGGTCCCTTTGGTGCGAGCGGCCTGGGTTCACAGAGCCTCGGTGCCAACTTTGCCGGCGCCCCGGCCGCGCTAACGCGGACGACCGACCGGCCGCTGCCGGCCGGAGAGTTGGGTTGGCTTTTGGAGCCAACTTGTGTGAGCCGAAGTTGGGCTGAACTGTGTCCACCCGGGCCGTGCCACAATGGAATGGTGGGCGAAAGGGCAGAGGTAGCCACAGGGGAGCAGGTGAGTCTGAACTGTACCGGAAGCAAAAGTCAGACGACGTGAACAGAGTACAGCTGGTTTGTTGTTGCATGCCTGTTTTTAGAAGGTAGCACTGAAGGTTTGTACGAAAACACCCTCATTGATAGCGCGTTAAAGTTTAACTATAAATCACGAGCATGGCATCAATCGATCATGCAGAACAGATATGAGGTTCTATCCAATACCCTGCCCTGGGATGCGAGATGTGGAATGGCATACCGAATGCGATCCGAATTCATTTCTCACGGAGTAATGACCTTTCGACCCATAGACGATTCGCCACGGCGATAAATCGCGCAGCCCATAAAATTGGGATTTTAGATAATATCATGCCACCCTGAATGGCAATGATCAACATTCTGGAGGGGTAAGCGTCAAAGACAAGTTTGAACGACGTTGGAAAAATCTTTTCATGAAACGAAACTTTCCCAAAAGTTCTGGGTTGGTGGTGCGGGTCGTCGCGCAATCATCTCGAATAAGAAACATCATTGATAGGGCGGTTGGTCACATCTGTTGTCCTTCGCAGGAGGGTAATTACCGGTTAATCTGTTTTGATAAGGGTGAGTCCGAAGCTTGTTTAATCATTTCCAATCATTCGCAGCCACAGCTCAGTAGGGCTTGGGATGTTGATACAAGATAACCTTTCCATACCGCCAGTGGTCGGTCGCTTGAAGGCGTACGCAGGTACGGCCCTGACGACTCAGGATGGCTTTTGCCGAAAGCCGGGGGAGCCAACCTTCAGCGCAGCTCCGGTGCGGCGCAGCATCTGGCGTGACGCTGCACGCAGAAACACAACCCTACATCCTGCGAGTGTCCTGGACAGGCGTCACGTTGATACGAACCGACGCGTTTTGAGCGCCCCGTCCTCCACCGAGCCCCCTCCCCGCGTCCCCCCCTCCCCTGCCCGCGGGACTTACCTTGAACGCAGTCATGTCCTGCCGGCGCTCCACGCCGTCGACGCTGGTGTAGACGAGGTTGCGCACCTCGCCGGCCAGGCGCGGCTCGAACACGACACCGGGCAGCGCCACCTGGGTGACGCGGAACGAGTGCGGCAGGCCGCCCACGAACACGTGCGAGTTGGTGTCGAGCGTGCCGAACCGGTACTCGCCGCCGGGCCCGGCCACTTTGTCCTCCGAGATGTGGTCGACAGTGAGGGTGGTGCGCGCGTGGCGACGCGTCACCGTCACGCGGTGCCAGCGGCCGTCGTTGAGTCCGCGGCCCAAACCGAGCATCTGGGCGCCGTCGCCGAGATTGTACCGTAGCCGCAGCGAGCCCTCGACCAGCTTGACCTCGAAGAAGTCGTTGCGGCCGCCGTCGTCCGTGAACACGAGTAGGCCGTTCGGCTGCGTCGTCCGGAACTCGAACTGCAGCGAGCCGTTCAGCCCCGGCCGCCACTTGGGGTACTGGGCGAACGAGTGCTTCGAACCGTCCAGCACGATGCCGGCGGTCAGGCCGAGCACGGCCGCCGCCAGCACGCAGCGCCACGCCCGCATCGCTAGCGCGAGCTCAGCCGCGCTGCATCGACTCAACGGCGCCCGGCGCGACGGCCGCAGCCGCGGCGCGCGCCGCGAACCGGCGGCAACGGCATGCAGCGGCCGCGTCCGTCGCGCAGACCCCTCGGCTCGACGGCCTCCCGCCGGCTGCCCGGGTCGCCACGGACACTCCCGGCCGCCTCCAGCCGCCGCCACTCACCTGCCCGTCACCGCCGGTTACCGCCGCTCACCGCCACTCACCGCCGCTCGTGCGTCGTCGCCGACGGCCGGCCGCAGCGGCGCGGATCGTCTCCGAGCGGCCGTTCCGACTCCGGCACCGTCCCGTCGTCCCCGACGCGCGCTCGGCGACTGACGCCGCGTCGACTGCGTCGACGCCCTGCCATCTCAATCGATACCGCCGCAGCGCCGCTCCGCCGACGACGAGGACGGCACCCGCGGAAAGAAACGCAGGCACGCGGCCCAGCCGCCGCGTGATCCGCCATTAGACAATCGATAAAATTAATAACGGAGGCAGCGCGGGCACAGATTTCAGCGAGGCGGCGCAGGGACGACGTCGGTAATTTCGTCGTGGAGAGGGCGGTGTCGGAGGCTATTCTGGCGCGGTGGCGGCGGCGCCTCGCCTCCGCGCCTGCGGGTGACGGCTCGGGCAGTCCGAGGCTAGGGGAGGGGGAGGGGGGCTAAAGAGGACCAGCTGATGACACATCAGAACAGACCCAGCGGCGCCCGTCTCCTGCCCGAGTTTGTCAGTGAGGAGGGGACATCAAAAGGGGAAAAAGGCGGGCGAGGGCCCGTTGGGTTATTTGTAGAAGGAAACCTGCTGATGTGCAGAGGCTCTCGGAAAAGACCAGACAAAACTGCGGGACGTGCATCAAGAAAACACCAAAGAACAGGAGGAGCTAGGCAGGACGGTATTGATCCCGGGCTCTCAGGGATCATCTTACTGATATGCAGTTGCGTCCGGTGTAGTTTCTCACCAAATTTGGCAGCTGGGCAGAGGCTGCTCGGTCCAGTCGGGTGAGACATAATGCGATGCACTCAGCCGATGAGCACTTTGCCCTGCGTCGGCTACATCCATAACGTTAGAAGTAGTTCTTCGAATGATTTATGGCAATGAGAAATGTTGCTTGTCGGCAAATTAATATCTTTTATTACACGGGCTGTCCGAGGAGGTGGCCATTATATGCTTGTACCGATCTTGTGTTCACACACAGATAGCAGCTACTGCTCTTAACAAAAGAGCTCCCACAAACTCCTTTTTCACGTGGTGAATTTGTATTTCAGCTTTCAGCACATGAGGAATCGTTTTGACTTAGGAGATCACACAATTTTCTGTGCAGATGTTACACGCATTAATATCTTAACTGACGCGCTGGGATAGGTGCATATGCCCGAGCGCACGAGTTTTTGAATTTTGCATTTATTGGTTTTGAAACGATAACACTGTCGGACAGAGAGGAAAAAACATTGTAACTAAACGGTTTGTACTGTTGAGTGTTTGAATAATATGATAGATTAACGGTTCGATTCAGACGCTCCTGTGTTTCGATGGACTTAAACCTCTTGCGGATATAGCGATTCCTCGCTAGGAGGTGTATTTATCAATTCATGGAGTCTCAAAGTCTACGTCAATTTTCACAACGGACGGGTAAAACGTTATCCACAGTCAGAAACGATGTCTTTACAACGGTATAGCGCTCTGAAAAGCCACTGCCAAACTGGTATTTTGAGAAAGCGTGTGTAAAAGAAAGATGCAGCCGGTGCTGAGTTTTGCTTTCCGGTCGGATGCCGGATCGATCGGGTATAACCAACAAATCCGACCGCGCGATCCGACTAGATACTGCCCGAGGAATGCCAATCATGAGCAGGCACGCCCGTAGCGAAGGCGCCAGGAAAGGCGCAATGAACGTGCATCACACGTGCAAGCGTGCCGGCATCCTGTGTTATGGCCGTGGTTTTGTGGTCAGTTAAGGGGAGACAAACGGCGCTTGTAACTTCCCGCTCACCACCCTTAACTTTTAGGCCATCTCCCCAATCTTCCGAGATGATCCGAGTCAAATCAGGGAAGAAATTGGACTTCGGAACTGGTGCGGTTTAGTCATGTGTTCCCAAATCAGTCTTTTCAAACCCTTTTGCAGTCTTGCCACCATCTTCTCAGGCTCTACGGCGGTTCATTCGTGTCTGGTTCATCCGCGCCTCTAACAACGCGCCCATACTTTTGAAGATGAGTAGGCACAGGATCGAATCAAACGGGATCTGAAAATGCACGTCCCTCTTGTACTGAGGTCTCTCAACAGTCAGAATAGGGAAAATGTGAGTTAACTGGAACTGCATGCAATCATGTTTTGTGTACGATTCACATAAGCACTGAACTTTGTCGAACACAGTTGTGGTATAATTCATTGTGAAATGTAAGCATTGTTAACGCATTGCCAAGACATTTTGTACTGGGTTAAGGCACTTTCAGGTCGTTGGGAATGATTTTTTTATCCAAATTTGACAGCGTTATATATGCTTCCCAAAACCAGTAAATTGTATGTTTTAAGAACTTACAAATCACCATGCAGTGAACTCACTTGAAGTCTTCGCATCAAGTGATGAAGAATGAGGCAGGTTGACATTCTGATTAAGCCGGAAAGGCCTTGACACAGAATGGGTGGATAGCCGACTGCTAAGTGGATATGCCAAGCGGGAGCAATCTGATTAAAACCAGACATGCGTCATGCCTATCATGATGCAGTAGATGGAGTGTTTTTTCTTTGTAGTAGATGATCAAGACAGCACGCAATTAAACGCAACTGTTAACATATTTTAAGCCACTATTCTGCGATCTAAAATACAAGGTATGAGTTTCTGTGCACGACATTCGTCACATCTTTAAAAATAACAACACGAACAAGCCGCAAGCCTGAGCTGCCCAGTAAGTCCGGCTGAATAATACGAGTAGTCCGGCCCGATACTTAACGTGCGAATTCCAAATCGAAACGAGGAGCGCGAGAAAAGTGACCTTACGAGGACCGCAGCCTGTTAAAGCGTGTAGATTTTGATGTTCATGGTGTGATACTGAAAGCAGCTACACTATGCACTGTTCTTAAACATATCAATCAGCCAGATGTGTTGGCAAGGATGACAATTGAAAGGCATCACCACTACAACACAAAGGTGTGTTGCAGACTTGCCACTGGATTTGCTGACCACGCCGAACCTTTTCTATTTGATCGCGCCCACCAATGCGCCAGCACACACTACGGCAATGATGGATGGAAATGATGGGTGGAAATGCGGCACACACCCCATGGCCAGCCGCCACTACGCGTGGTCGATAGGAGGGAGCTCATTCTCGCCGCAGCGACCTGGCCTGCCCACTAACCACACCTGGCCGGCTGACCTGGACAAGCCAAGGGCCAGTTGTCGGCCGCTGAGAACGACGTCATTCATCGCGCGAATGGCGCCACACCGAGCGTACTCCCTAGATTGAGTGCCGCGGTCGGATGGCTCGTGGACGTTGTGTGACCTATATCATCAGCCTGCTATGAGCGGTGGCCCATAACTCGCTCAGGCTGATAGCTCTCAGGAAAAAATGGCTAAGGCACGCCTGATAAAATCCATCATTGCCTGCTGATGCGGACGTAAAAAACCGGCAGCGAGGAGGCGACGTCAATATGTCTGGTGCATGATCACTGGGAGCGCCAGGTTTTTGCCTGTGATCTGCGGAGCTGTTGAATTATGGATCAATGTAGGAACGCACGACTGCTGTAAGCGCTGGAAACCATTCAGAGGCTCACCAATGCGGAGTTCGGCAGCTAAAATATGGTCCACAGATTTGCCGAATCGCTCCGGTACATTTCCAGTCTGCCCGTGATTGAACACTACGATGCGGGGCAGCGGAATATGAACTGAAATGCTCCGTGTTCTTCACAAAATTCCCTCAATCTAATTTGCGACCGAGTTGTTTTCAGGCGAATCGGGACGATTCTTGAAGTTAACCAGTGCTTGACCAGAGCACGACACGTTATTACATAACATCGCAGTGCCTAAGCCGCTCTCTCATCGCAGTGGTTTGGGAACAAAAACGGGGGAGCTCCGGTGATCGCTGACATTTGCACGATCCAATTTTTAGCGTGGACGCGGAAAAATAAGCGCACCTTAATCCGGCTGAGACGCCTGCAATCCAGCAACACAGCAGTATCAACAGGGGGTTGGCATCGATGGTGAGTCCTTGTCGAGAGATGGAGATTCCGGCTTTAACGCTAGCAGCACCGTCAACGAACGTCAGCTGGCTCCGCGGACTGCAGCGCAGAGCAGTGCTACCGACTGTTGCCGTCAGGCGGAACGGTGGACTGCAGCGCAGGGCAGTACTACCGACTGCTGCCGTCGGGCGGAACGGTGGACTGCAACGCGGGGCATTGCTACCGACTGTTGCCGTCAGGCGGAACGGCGGACTGCAGCGCAGGGCAGTGCTACCGACTGCTGCCGTCGGGCGGAACGGTGGACTGCAACGCGGGGCATTGCTACCGACTGCTACCGTCGGGCGGAACGGTGGACTGCGGCGAGGAGCAGTGCTACCGACTGCTACCGTCAGGCGGAACGGTGGACTGCAGCACGGGGCAGTGCTACCGACTGCTGCCGTCGGGCGGAGCGGTGGACTGTAGCGAGGAGCAGTGCTACCGACTGCTACCGTCAGGCGGAACGGTGGACTGCAGCACGGGGCAGTGCTACCGACTGCTGCCGTCGGGCGGAACGGCGGACTGCGGCGCGGGGCAGTGCTACCGACTGCTGCCGTCAGGCGGAACGGTGGACTGCAGCGCAGGGCAGTACTACCGACTGCTGCCGTCAGGCGGAACGGTGGACTGCAGCGCAGGGCGGTGCTACCGACTGCAACCGCCAGACGGAACGGTGGACTGTAGCGCAGGGCAGTGCTACCGACTGCTACCGTCGGGCGGCACCGAAGCGGTGCACCCAATCAGACACAACGCCTGGGTGTCACAGCAACGCCGAAGGTAACGAGCGTCTTGTGCACGTTACGG